CAATCAATCAATCAAACCCCAATTCCCAGTGCGCTCGCAAAGGCGCACGTAATTTCCTATATATTTTCCGAATTGCAGAAAGGAAAAGCAGAACTCGGGAGTCGAAAAAAAAGCTTTCCGAAAGATGGGAGCCAAGAACGCGGTACCCAAAATCAAGAAAACGAAACGGGGTTTTTATGGGGTTGGTATGATACAAGCAAAAAGAGGGGTACGAAAGATAGCACGGGTTCGGGAAGTGGTTCGTCACATATGTGACGTGCAGGGGGTTCCGAAATTATGCGATATCCTGATTGCATGTCATGGCGGAACAGAGTGATGCATGAGGAACCAAGCGTATCAACAAACGATCCAGCCAGAGTCCATGTTGACGCCAACTTCAATTGCAGTTGTCTGTTGCAGGAATCCTCGATGGTCGTCCAGGTGACGCCATCATCGTCCGCTGGTTCACCGTGTGCTCTGCACCCCAGCTGGTTGTTAACCGTCGAATCAGAGCGTGAGCTGACGTCATGGTCGATGGCGTGATCTTTGTGAAGCTTACTGACTCGTGCCATTATCCCCCGCTGATTGGATGAAGAGAGGAGAGGGAGAGAGGGGGGGGTAGTGATGTGATCGGGATCTGCCTCCTAGTTGGAATGGGCCAATAGAGGCGGTACATGGAGGGGATTTCACGGGGTCGACGGGGAGGAAGTGGCGGTAGGAAGCGATTCATTCCTTCCATCGTCACCGGAAGCTCCTCATATCGGATGATCCGGTGGAAGTGGGGGAAGTGATCRCCGCTGCGAGGGAGGGAAGCAAGGTAGTCGCGATAGAAGGAGGAGAGGGTGTGGAAAAGCGCCGCTCGAAAGAACTCGTAGTGGCGGCAGGCGGGGRTTGTCCCCGTGGCAACGCAGTAAACCTCTACCACGTTGCATCGCTCCCATGCAGCGCTGAACAGCAGGAGATGCCAGCAGATTGTGGGGGCAGCGGATTGAAGGGAGGCATGAGGGTGGACGTGGCAAGTAGGCGGGTACAATAGAAGTCGCGGAAGAGATGGGGAAGGAAGGGATGGGAAGGGAAGGTGACAGGGGTACGGATCTGCTCGAGGGTGAGGAAATCAAGGGGTCGGCGGGACAGCGTCCGAGGACGAAGGCCTATCGCCCGCATCGGTACGTGGGCGAACTGGGGGACGGGTGGGGCTGGAGGAGGAGGGGGATCGGCTCCGTCTCCATCGCGCGGTACTTGAGGTGGCGGCTGCAAGGTCGCCATCTTCGGGCTTCGGCGGCTCTGGATCCCTGGTCAGATCGTTACCGATGTGCAGGCTAGCTTCGTTGGCGAACTCCAGTTGGCGCTTCCCAGTGGCAATTTCTTCGCGCTTTCGCGCCGCTTCCGGATCTTCCGTCTCCGTTCCCGTACGCGTCGCTTCCTCCGGCAAGGCTTCCCACTCAGATCCGGTTTCTTCTTCCTCCTCTTCTCCTCCGCTCAGCTCGCCCTCGCTATGTTCACTATTGCTCCCCTCCTCCGATGTTTCATCGTCTTCGTCCTCTTCATCGTCGTCGTCGATCACCACTTCCTCTGCCCTCGGATAGAAGGCGTGAGGGATGATATCATACGGCTTCAGATACTCCTGCCGCGATGGTAGCGTATCCTCGTCCCTGGGTTCCTCCAAGCACGCAGTCCACTGAAGGTACGGATCCAATGATCGCTCGAAAATGTACGGAGCAGGACTGTCGTCACTCTGTAAATAGATGTCGGGCGAGAGATCGTCCGCCAATTGCACGATTGGTGCGATGAGCTCTTGCGCAATCAGCTGGTGGCGCCCCGGCTGTACCGATCCAAAGAGAAAGCCAAGAAGATCGCCCTCCGCGTTAGTCCTCCAAGCTTGGATGATTAGCAGTTCGGATTTTCGATCCACGCAGGATGCCTGCTGGTCTGTGTCCACATCACCTATACTCTGGCCAAGCAGAAAGACAGCTCCTCAAAAGTTTGGCGCCACAGTCGCCAATGTCCAGGATTGATAAGAAGGACCGAAAGAGGCTCGAACGAGAAGGAAAGAGAAAGATGAAGATCGGATTGCCAGAAGGTGGGGAAGAGAGAGGGGAGACCAAAGATAGAGAGAGGAGCGAGAAGATCGGCGTGGTTCATTGGAGATGTGGGAAGGGGATGAGGGTTGGGATCGCAACTGGCTGCTCACGCAGTGATCGGCGAATACCGCCAAGATCCGAAGCAAAGATCGGGATGAGGTTATACCCTTGTCGGGCGAGGACGTGCTGCCACACGTTGGACACTTGCTCCGTCCACTCGCGCAGCGAGGTCAAGATCGCGGTATGCCACTGCGGATTGACCGAGCTGATGTCGCCGCTGAACGCCGCAACCGTGGTGACGTGGCTCGTTCTGGGGCCCGCTCGCCGATGAACTGCGGTTACCTCCGCGAATACTACTGCGTGAGGACTTCCTTCGATTCGAAACGAGGCGGCGGCACAGATACCTTCGTCGCAGAAAAATTGCATCNGTGGCTCGTTCTGGGGCCCGCTCGCCGATGAACTGCGGTTACCTCCGCGAATACTACTGCGTGAGGACTTCCTTCGATTCGAAACGCGGCGGCGGCACAAATACCTTTGTCGCAGAAGAATCGCATCAAACGCCGAAGATCAGCATTGAGCCGAGGGTGACAAACTTGCCGAATCTCTGAGATGTGGCCACGTGGCTGCAACAGTTGTGCATCAAGAACCCGCTCCGTGATAAAACTCATGGCGAGGTGGGAGAGGAGGACGATGGACAAGAGGGAGAAAGAGGAGAGAGAGTTAGATCGTCGTTGTTCCCCTCGCTTTCCGAGGAAGAAGAGGGAAAAAGATCAGAAGGAGGAAGAAGACGGAGGTAGGAGGTATGCCGGACCATGGGGACAGAGCTATGGCTGGCACTAGCCTCAGGCGCGATGCGCACCGTGTTGGCGCCGTTGGGTCCGAGCTCGACAACGCGAAAACAGCCAGAAAACTTGGGAGCGAGTTTCCGGTCGCGTGCGCATTTACGTACCTGCACTAGGTCCCCTAATTTATATTGATGTTGGGGCCCAGCATTTCCATTCCGAGCCTCGTAGCTACGGACCTGTTTACCGTGGGCCAGTTCGGTCATCCTTTGCCTTTTTCGGGCTAGCTTCGGGACAGCTCGTTCCATTATTTTGGTCTACCTTTTGGCCTTGGCCTTGAGAGCTGCACGCGTGTCTCTATCCCCTGCTTCGGCAATTTCGAGTTACCCCGGTAGTCGACACAAGGGAGGCTATTAGTTCGAAGCTGAAAGGGGTAAACCCCGTGGACTCGTGAGGGGTGGCCCGGTGGATCCCGACGATCTGATATACGATCTCGGGCCAAGGACGCGTGTCATGTGCCGCTAGGTTCCTGCGAAGGGCGGTTTTGATCATACGGTTGGCATTTTCGACCAACCCGTTTGACTGGGACACGTGGGGTGCCGTATGTCGGAGCGTGACGCCCCTTCGCGCAAGCAGTTCTTCTACCTCACCCTTGAATTCGGWCCCATTGTCGGTCAGAATTTCTTCCGTATCTAGATGGGTATAGAGGAACCGTTCGATGTACGTGGCTATTTCTGCGGCTTTTCGGGTCTTACAGGGATAAACTTCGATGTACTTGGAAAAATGATCTATTAATACTAGCAGGATAGAATATTCACAGCGGTTTGGGCCAGGTGGTACGTCGATATTTGTCGTGTCCATACTGACTCGCTGGAAAGGACGCTCTACTTCCGTTGGTACGATCGTGTTTGGTCCCCTTATAGGGGCGCGATCAGCAACACAGACCAGACAGTTAGCGACAATGTATTTGACATCATCTCGTATATTGGACCAGAACCATCGGTTCTGATCTACAGTTGCCCTCGTGACACGTATTGCGAAATGAGCGGCCTGTTCTTCGTGAGCAGATCGGATCCAATCATATCTCTGGAATGGGTGGGGAACAGTCAACCACGAGGCCGATTCGTCAGTTTTACGTTTTTCCAAATGGTCGTTGACCCATCGATAGTCCCAAGATCTCTCGGTCGCCCTACGTCTGTCGTGTTTGGTGAGGTGGCCCAATGATAATCCCGCTAATTTCGCCAATAAAATTTTATCCGTCCAAACCTCCGCTCGTCGGTATTTTTCGTCATATTCAGGGTCGTCCGTACGGGCGGCCTCGAATCGAACCTCCGTGGGGAGTTTGTTCGTTCTACACAGGGGGCACCTCCATTCCTTGCTATTCGTCCGATATCGAACGCAGGCCCCGTGCGCACGATTGACCCACGTGGCACATTCTACCCAGTCGACAAACCCGGTTTCGAAAGGATGGCAGTCGACCCCATAGACCCGTGCAATGCATGTGCAAAAATAACAGAATTTATCGGGGAGGGTGGTGAAGAAAGCTGAGGACATGAGAGGGGCAGAATTAGTAGGAGATGAAGGGGTAGCGGAGGCAAGTGGGGTAGTCATGATGACAGAGAAGGAAGGGATGTAGGGAGGGTAGAACAGACCAATGAGTCCTCGTGTCACTCACTGCTTCGATAAGTTCTCCACTTGGCCATACCGAGGTCCGATCTCCTGTTCGGGTTCGTTCAACGGGATTACCTCCTCACTCTTCGGAACCTTCTCAGGCCGGTGCAGTCATGTCAGTTTGTCCGCATTCCCATGTTTCTCGTGCTTCCGATGACGAATGTCAAAGTCCATGCTCTGCAGCACCGTTGCCCATCGCCCGATCATGCCAGAGTAATCCTTCGATTTCTTCAGAGCCAACAAGGGCTCATGATCAGTTACCAAGGTGAACTTTCGACCGTACAGGTAAGCGCGAAAGTGGCTGATTCCCCAAAGAGCCGCGTAGCATTCCCCCGTYGGAGCGGCGTAGTTGCGCTTGCAAGTTGGCACCGATTTGGAGGCGTATTCCACCACATTCTCGAGTCCGCTTGGTCCCACCTGGGCAAGGATCGCCAAAATCGCCTCTGGCTGCCAGTCAGTGATGAGAACAAAAGGTTTTTCGGGATCCGGACTTATAAGGACCGGAGCCGAAATGAGAGCGGCCTTCAGTTTAGAAAACGCTTGATCGCACTCCGGCGTCCAGATCAACGGCTGATTTTTGCGCAGCAGATTCGTGACGGGTCCCGCAATCGCCGCGAAGCCCTTGATAAATCTTCGGTAGTACGAGGCCAGGCCCAGAAAGGCGCGAACTTGCGTGATAGTTGTAGGCACCGGCGCATCCCTGACAGCTGCCACCTTTTGTGGCTCCGGCTGGAGTCCCTTGTCTGTCACCACGTGCCCTAGGAAGGAAACGGTGGTGAGAAAAAACTGACACTTCTCAAGCGCCACCTTGAAGCCCGCATCCCGTAACGCGTGCAGTGCCAATTCGATGTGCTGCACGTGTCCCTCGTAGGAACTCGAATACACTAAGATATCATCCATATACACAATCACGCAGTAGTTGACGATGCTCTGTGCTAAACGAGTCTTTCTCACGAAATTCTGAAAAGCCATGTTCATGGCTCGCTGAAAGGTCGAGGGGGCGTTGCAGATACCCATCGGACATCGAATCCACTGCCACGTGTCCTCGAAAAGTACAAACGCTGTTTTCGGACGATCTTCTTCTCGAACAAGAAGATGATGGAACCCATGGCGAACATCAAACTTGCTAAAAAATCGAGCACTCTCAATCGCATCCAACAATTCATCAATCCGGGGGAGGGGGTACACATCTTTGATCGTGATATCATTCAACTTTCGATAATCAATGCAAATGCGAATCCCTCCGGTCTTTTTAGGCACGATCACTACAGGGAAAGACCATGGACCTATAGCGGGTTCGATCCATCCATTAGCTTCGAACTCCTTAATCCGCTGAAAAGCGGTCGCTCTCTAAGCTGGCGAGTATCGGTAGGGAGCGCAGCTAATGGGCGGATGGTCTCCCGTAAGAATGGCATGCTCGATCACATTAGTTAAACCGATGTCGTTGTCATGTATGCTCAATACTTCTGCGTAACCATTTAACACACGGATTAATGATTTCCGAAGTTTCGCGGGGACGTGACCTGGCAGGGTGATTGTTGATTCCCCAGAAATCTCAAGGGGCATATCGACCCAATCATCCGGTCGTTCCCGCCGATTGTGGACACTAGAGAAGACGGAACTATTGGTGCGAATAGAGAAGACATTTGCTATCATCTGGGACTCAGCGGGGCTGATCATCTCAGTTTCTTTGGCTTCAACATCAGTCTCTAAACCAACCGAGGTTGGTTCCACGGTTAGCCCCGTTAGGTCGGTCATTTCTTGCAGTAGGTCAGGTACATCACTTACTGGTGCTTCCGCCTCTTGTTTAATCAAAGCGATGGTGGCTCCTGTCGTTAGCAACGTTCTGGGCAGAGAAACAAAAACATCCAAATATTGTTCTGTTTGCTGATAACGCGTTCGTAAGGAGAGAGCTCCTTCGTACAAGGTGCGAGGGGGTTCCGAATCATCGGCCAGGTCAGATACTTGTAATATAGGTTCCCCAAGTAGGACCGCAGGACTAACTTGAGTTATCAGAGGCGCAAGCGCGTTGTCTCCTGAATCCACGTGGAAACTTCGAGCAGGGTCGGGGCACACTTGGAATTCCTCCGGAATTTCGTGTTCAAAAAGTTCAACCAGGTGCTTCCATTCATCTTCGCTAGGCAGCTCTTCTTCATATTCTTGTTCCCTGCTTCCATCACTGATGTGCGAGGGAGAGCGCTCCTCGGGATCAATGCATCGAATCATCCCAATTTGGGCCGAGTTAGGGACCCGTTTTATCGTTCGGGTGGAAACTCGTAAGGGAACAGTTTGAGGCTTTCCCCCAGTTTGCGTGAGCACCAATTGTTTCGAATCAAAATGCAGACGTGCGCCCACCGCCATCGCCCAAGGTAATCCCAACAACACAGAATAGGAACGTACATCTATTACGAGCGCGTTAACAAGAACGTATACTCGTCTGACTTTTACAGCCACGTTCTCGATAATGCCTACGATGTTCATTGCTTCCTCGTCGGCAGAGACATAATTGTCTTTGCCAGATTGAGGAAGAATGGATCCAAGTCGTCCCGTCTTTTTGACAGTATCCAATGATATGGCCATGGCAGAAGACCCTGTGTCAATAAGGGCATTAAACGGCTTGCCCCAAACTTCACAGTCACATTCCGCACTTTTCCACAATACCGGCCGAGCTCGTACGAAGTGATTTTTTTCTGCTAAAGAGATCGCTGCTATGCGTGCGGCTTCGGGTTCAGGTTCTTTTGTGTCAGGCTCGGGAGGTGCAACTTCCTCGCTTCCTTCCTTCTTCTTCAACATCCGTTGTATGCGCTGATAGGTAAAGTGCTTTTGATTTTTCTGGCAATGTTGTAAAAGTTTATCATTCGCCGCTTCAGATATGGTGAGCAGATGTCCTACCGGGATCGGAACACGAATATCTAGTTGTTTGAGAGCTTGTAGCACGTCAATCTCTCCTGTTCGGAACTACGAACCAGGATTGGATTCGTGATCGACCCATTCGAGATCATCTGGGGCCGATCGGATCGCTCCGATCATGCCTGCGAGATGAAGATACTCGAGGGGATCGACCACGTCAGCAACGTCAGAGGAAGAAGCTCCCGAGGTCGACGCTATTGTCGTCGAGGGGGAAGGCTGCTTTGGGGCATATGCCACGACCTCTCCTCCCTGGGCGGTATCCATCAAAACGGCCACTCGTCCTTGATTCAGGGCCACGGGGGCCGCCGCAGGTGGAGGCTGATTACGTTTTGGCTGCGGACAGTCCCGGGCGAAATGCCCGGGCTGTTTGCAGTTAAAGCACTCGATTTTTCCTGCTGGATTAGCTAGATGAGGGAACTGAGGTGCGAACCCTGGAGCAGGCGGGGCAGGTAAGAGTGGAAATGATGCGGGGGCCGGCCGAGGAGAGGTCGGGTTAGGCTTGATTAGCCTACTCATTATCTGTTTCATCCGTTCCATGTGAGCGGCTTGCATTTGGATCAAGTTGCTCATCCATTCGTACTGCTTGGTAGTAGCCGTATGGATCATCTGGGCAAGATGTAAGTTGGTTATGGCCGGTGAGGAGGGTTCGGGTGAGATTCCGCTTTTAACGACTGCGATCGATTGCTTCACCGGGGGAGAGGAAGAAGAGGCAGGCGGGGTATCGGAAACGATCCCGCCGGGAACGTCATGGTCGGGGCGGGGATATATCCGTTCGACCGCTTGCAGCCATGATCGCCTTTTAGCCGTTACATCCCGTATGGTATTTGTAATGTCTTCGTCTCCCTGGCTGATACACTTTTTTGTATCAGCCAGGTTCAGTTCCAATGCTTTAGTGATGATAGTCGATAACTGTTGTGTTTTCAGCGGGACCTTTTTCTGCAGTTTGTCTTTCAATGTAGGACTTCGTAGATGGTCGATGAACAAATCTCGAGCGGATTTCTCGTCTCGCCCGGAATTGTCCAGCGTGGTTTGAAACCGATCGACGAAATCGGGTAACAATTCCCCTGGTCCTTGTGGCCGATTTTTTAGCACATACCAGGCGGCATCTTCACTGACCGTATCGAATCAAGCCAAGAAGGCTTGCTTGAAAGTATCCCAATCTACCCACCTGTGTTTTCTAAACCAGTCATGCGACGTATTGCGGAGTAGCAATGTCAGAACGCGAGGAAGATCGGCTGCGCTGTAGTTTTGAGATTCTACAGCTTCCAGCCAAGCCTCGGGATGGGTATGATTAGGGAAGAAAGTGAAGGGGGCGGGGATACTAACGATCACCCTAGTACCGTCCACCATCGGTGTTGCGGGTGCAACCGCACCAGACTGAGACCGTGTCACTGGGCGGTCCCGACGAGCTAGTTGAGGGTCTCTCCTACCTCTCGCCAGTTCGACTTACTATCATCAGAACCGATACGTGTCGGCTCCGATACCAACCTCATGCCCTGTGCTGTCTTTCGTTCGGAGTGTTAGGCGTGCGGAAAGAGGCCCAGAAAAACAGCAAGATGGGGTGTGCCAAGGACTTTTGGAAATTAAGTGTGGGGACACAGATGGAACTAAAATCCCTCATGTTGGTCCAATGAAGCAAGTCGATTGCTTTCGCGCGTCGCAGAATGTGCGCGCGGGCACAGCGCGAAAAAAGAAAAATCCAAATTCAATCCAAAAAGTATTGTCGGGCTTTCCACCGAGCCACAACCCGTCGTTTAGAACGGAAAGGCTTTGGCACGCTCCGCGTGTCTCGTTTTCGTATCAAATCTCGTCGTCGTTCGATGGTCAATTCCGAGTCCGACGTGGATGGTCTCAGTCGCGTGGCTCTTTCTTTATGCTCGTCTTCACTGCACACACGGTAGTGGAAACCCCTGGATTCGTAGCGCTCAAAGCGCTGGCATTCGGTGCATAGAGTGCGCGGCCAGTGGGGTTCTACTGCCGTCCATGGGATGACGATCAACTCGTTGAATGGCAACAATATTGAGTAAGGTGGGAAGTGCGTGTCGATCATGACAAACCCAGCCTCTACGAACCCTGAACAACGATTTGCCGGAGGGAAGTAGTATCGTCCACCGATCTGTGCGACAGCTTCTCACACGTCCCACTCACATACACGTGTCCTTTCCTCGTTGTACGGAAAAGGCCGTGTTGGGGCGGGAGGTACGGGAGCCTGGTGCCCAATCGAAGGGTACTGGTAGGTCCACATATCAATCAATTGGAAAGACCTTGCGACGTCATCAAGAAAAGAAAACACTCACGCAACTCATAAACAATTTCCTTCAACCCGAGAGGGAGAGAGAGAGAGAGAAAGAAGACACGTCAGCAGCTTGATCATGCATATAACTAAGGGACCGATCCGCAGCTCAGGTTTAATGAGCCAGCGCGACGTTGATCCCAGGCGCCTTGTTTCTCGAGGCCGCCTCGTGGTTCGGCTGCTGATGTCGGACAGCATAAGGCAGATGGCATACGCAGTGCACTCAAAGCTACATATCTAAACACTCTTGCATTCTCGGAGAAAATCCCGACGACAATCGTCTAATCAATGTCAAAAAGACGCGCATTCCCATACATTCATTCACTGTGGAAGATGCGAAAAATTAGTCATGCACATGAAAAGATGGATTGCTTGCACAATACACACGCATCCACCGTTCACAAGACAAGAAGACGGGGTCCTTGCGTGGGAGGATTACCCAGGAAACTAATGAAAGAGTTCCGGAAGAAGTTCTTTCATGCACGACAAGCATACAGATTCATACTCATCTAGAGGAGGGAAAGAGAGAGAAGGAGAGAAGCATCAAGACACATCATTATTCAAAATAGAAGAGAAGAGGAAGGTGAGGGGGGGGGCAGAGTCGAGATAGGCGATGACGCAACCCAAAAGAAGGAAGTTCAGAGAGAAAGATCCGCAACAACAAAGGCGCATTCGCCGTTAATTCCAATATGGCCCCGGGCCAATAACTCACTCAACTCCAATCATCGATCCTCGTACCCGCACCGACGATCCCGGTCGCCTCGTGCTAACTCCCACCACTGCGATCGTCACCCCGCTGTCGTAGACTCGAC